AATGCAGAAGAGATAAATTTTCTAGGATCAGAGGAAATAATAGAATTTTCAAGCCTAAACGAAGTAAAGGTGTATCTTTTCAGGGAAATGCAAGAGAAGAGGTACATTCTCAGTTGCCCCCAAGATTTGTACAAATGTTCAATGGATATAAGGCCACCACAGGATCCAATAGTGGGGATTCATGCAATGATAGTTGTTCCCTCACTAAGGAGGAACCCAGTATTCCATGCAAGTCTGCAGAATGGCTCAATCAACAACCAAGCAGAGATGATGTATCAACCAACTAATTTCATTATCTGAAACATGCAAGGTAGTAACAACGATAACTTTTGTGTTAATTTTAGAGAAATGGTTGATACACATAAACCATGCATGGTGGCATTATTGGAAACTCGTATGGAAAATCATGTTTCCCTCTTAAATGACTTTGCATTTTCGGAGATGATTGAGGTCCCAGTAGAGGGACAAGCTGGTGGAATGGTCATCTTGTGGGATTTTGGTATTGTGAAAGTTCACAATGTTAGGAGGAACCAACAAATCCATGCCACTATTGAGGTACTCCCTACTCATGCTACTTGGCTATTTTCCTCTATCTATGCTAGTACTAAACTAGATTAAAGACGTGAATTATGGCAAAACATAGAAAATATTCATAGAAATTATAAGGGGCCTTGGCTATTAGGGGGTGATTTTAATGACACCTTTAGTGTTAAGAACAAATTTGGAGGAAACCCCATTAGACGTAGCAACTCTTTATGGAATAGTATCAACAATTGTAACCTTATGGATTTAGGATATAAGGGATGCAAATATACTTGGTCTAGTCATAGAAAAAAATCTAAGGGCCTAATTAAGGAAAGGCTTGACAAATTTTTTGTTAATAATGATTGGTTGAATTTATTTCCTAAAGCAGTGGTTATACACCTCCTTAAGACTCATTCAGACCATAATCCCTTATTAATCCAACTCACCCCTAGGAATGTGAATTATAGTGGTAAACCCTTTAGATTGGAGACTATTTGGTGTAGACACCCTGACTTTATTAATATTATGAAGCAATGCTGGACTAGTAACGACCTGATTAATGCCCATAAAATCTATAAGGAGGAAGTTATCAAGTGGAAAAATAAGACTTTTGGGGATATTTTCAAAAAAAAAAAAGAAGGTTATTAGCTCGTCTAAATGGGATTCAATCTTCTCCTTCATACCAGAAGAGCATTTTCTTACAAGAATTAGAATCTCAATTACAACTAGAGTACAATAATATTCTTAAAATAGAACAAGATTATTGGAAACTCCGCTCTAGAATTTTTTGGCTTAATGATGGTGATGCCAACAATTTTTTTAATCACATAATGGCCTCTAACCGTAAACAACGTAATGCTATTATGTATTTCACAAATGATAGTGGCGAATGGATTTCAGATCCTAAATTAATCCTAGACCATACCTACACTTACTTTCAAAATGCTTTTAATACTTCCAAATCCATCACCCACAGATTTTCCATCCTGAAAGACCCCACATGCCATACCTCTTTAGATTTAACCATCCTTGATATGCCTTTATCAAACATCGAAATTACTAAGGCTATTTTTTCCTTTAAACTTTTTAAGGCTCCAGGTCCAGGTGGTATACATCCCTTTTTCTATCAAAAGTATTGGCACATTATTGGTGATTCAGTTATTAATTATTGTCATAATGTGCTTGAGACCCAAACCTTGCCATCAGGAACTAATGAAACCTATATATGCCTCATACCTATTTGCTAATGCAAACAATCTCAAAAATTTCAGGCCAATCAGTTTATGTAATACTTCTTATAAAATCATTACCAAGATTATTGCTAATATGCTCAAACTTTTCCTCCCATATCTTATAAGTCCACTCTAATCTATTTTTATTAAGAATAGAAGAGCTAGTGACAACGCTATTATTATCCAGAAAATTATGAATAATCTCCGTAGTTCAAAAAGTTTAAAGTTTGACATGTTGATAAAAATATACTTAGAGAAGTCTTTTGATAGACTAGAGTGGTCTTTTGTCTATAAGACTCTGAGATATTTCAAATTTTACCCTAAAATGACTAAATTAATCGTGCATTGTATTTGCACTAGCTCCATGGAGATCCTGGTAAATGGTTCTAGAACAAACTTCTTTAGTCCCAGTCGGGGTATACGCCAAGAAGATCCTATATCTCCATATATCTTTATCATTTATTTTGAATTACTCTCACATCTCATTAATCATCAAGTAGACATTATGCATTGGGACCCTATTAAAACAAAGAATTTGGGCTATCCATAAATTTTTTAAAATCAAAAATCATCTTCTCAAAAAATTATCCCTTGTCAATTACTTCTTATTTCACAAATCTTTTCGATATAAGACTTAGTCATGATTTTGATAAATACCTTGGCTTCTCAATCCTTAATCACAATTCAAAACCTAAAGATTTTCAATTTGTTTTAGACAAATTGCACACTAGACTATCCCATTGGAAATGTTTTTTTCCTAAATACGGCTGGAAGGACAACATTGGCCACAAGTACCTTAAGTGTTATTCCTACCCATTCCATGCAATATACATTGCTTCCCACCAAAATCCTAAAACAAATAGATAAAACCCAAAGAGGTTTTATCTGGGGATCCACCAACTCTTCTAGAAAATTATACCTTGTTAATTTGCAAACTGTCACAAAGGATAAAGTTGAGGGTTGTCTTGGTATCTGCTCAGCTGCATCCAAAAACATCGCCTTGCTAACAAGCCTCTCTTGGAGATTCTTGCAAAATCCTACTACCCCTTGGGTACAACTTAATTCTCTAAAATACTCCCTGAAAAAGTCAAAAATTAACACATTTTTTATTTGGAAGGCTATTCTTAAAGGCCGTAAAGTTTGTAATGAAGGCACATTATGGCACCCATGATTTAGCTCCAAAATGAATATTTGGTCATCTAAGTGGATTTACAACTCTAATACTCTTAGAAACTCTATTTATGGTCCTCTTAGTAGGGATGACCTAAATCTTTTCATAAAAAAACTTATTAAGCATGGTCAGTGGGACATCTCAAATATTTCTTTTGAATTACCTTCTACAATTATTAATAATATTGCTTTGACCCTAATACCTAATAATGACCTAAAAAAAGACATTATGAGTTGGGGCCCTAATATCAATGGGTTTTTTACTATAAAATCTTGTTACAAGCTTTTAAATCCTAATAACACTAATAACACTACCTTTAGCTGGATTTGGGACCTCCGTTGTCCTAACAAAATCAAATACTTCCTTTGACAATGCATGCATAAACGTATTCCTTGTCTAGCCTTGTTAGCACATATTGGCATTAATATTGATGCCATTTGCACGATTTGTAAGAAAAATGTGGAAGATATTCAATATATTTTTCTACATTGCCCAGCTACTATGCGCTTTTGGAACAATATGGACATTTTGACTTAGCCTATCGACAATAACTCTCACTGGCTGATCAACCTAAAAGACAGATTCATTCAGAATACTAGTCATTCTACAAGCTGGGAAACCATTTTTCCTCTCTCTATCTGGAACCTTTGGAAAAATAGGAATAACAACAACTTCAATAACTTAGACCTTGATTTTCATGCCTCAAAAGTTGTTCAACAAGCCTGGGAATTTAATTTCTTTACTGAAAAAAACCATTTTAAAGTTCATAATATCAAGATTGAGATTAAGTGGGATTGGTACAAGTAAATTAAACATAGATGGAGCTTTTTCAAAAACTACTATGGAAGCTGGACTAGGTGGAGTATTCAGAAATAGCAATGGAGACTGGATCCTTGATTTTCATAAATCATGCCATGCAGCATCAGTCATGCAAGCTGAATTAATGGCTTTACAAGAAGGACTAAAGCTTGCAAAAGAGATGAATTTCCCCAAGATGAAAATTGAAACAGACTCCACGAAAATCATCAAACTCATATATGATGACAACCAATATTTATCTAACACTATTCTTGACCGCAGGTTGTTAATGCAGCAGCCGAAGCTCTCAGCTCTGAGACATAACTTCAGAGAAAGAAATGAAGTAGCGCACCTCCTAGCAAAGGAAGTTGTTAAACACTTCATCCCAACTAAATATTTTTACCATGCTCGTCCTCCCCCTTTTGTTGATCTTGAATTAAACAGGAACAAGCAAGAAATCAGTAAAAGTATTAAGTATCTTCCTACTTTTGTTTGTAATAGCCTTGCCACTTTAGACAATAGTAATGTCCTCAGGGATTATGTATTGACTATGTAACCGTTTGTTTAATAATATAATCTCCATTTTACCTTTAAAAAAAAAACATCTATCTCCATAAAGATATACATATTTCTCGATATTTTACATATGTATTTGTAAAAATGGGTACAAACTTTGAAGATGTCATCGGCCGCTCAAGCATCTCAGTATGCGTTTAGAAATAAAACTTGTGATTTCCGAAGAAAAAAAATAGTATTTTGAAGTTAAGTTAATAAATGATATTTGAAATTATGTTTATACATACATTTTACTTGAAAAAATATTGCAGTTTTGTGAGGGGAAATCAATTTTTACTTGAAAACCACTCTTTCAAACTTGAAACTCATCTTCAAGAAAATTTTCAAAAGTTTAGTCCAATTTGAGAACCAAACAATGATTTGAAAATATTTTTTGGGAAAAAAAAATAAAGAAATCATGTCCAAACGCTCCCTAATTTCTTTCATCCTACAACTATAGATCATTCTGTCAACAAATCCAACTCTAGAAGAGTAGAAGTTGGACAATTAGATAAATTACAAGTGGTAGGTGATTCGACCTAACTCCAAAGGAGAACCCAAAATTGATGGTCTCCGACTACGTACTAACTAAGTAGTGTTAATCTCATCAGCAGAAAACAATCAAGTTAAGACTCTAGCGGAGCCAACATTTTCACAAAGTGGGCCAAAATATAGAGAAGTAAACTCACGAAAGTCAAGAATTGTAAATTTGTAATATATATACATAAAAAAATAATTTTACTTAATTACAATATAATTTTCCGAGTAACGAATGTATGATTAACAACCCTTGAGTACATATATGTGGCTCCGCCACTTAGATATTCTAAAATATGTTCATACATCAAGATTTACGATTAAATCAGGAGAGCCTGGGATTTCTTCTCTCAATTTGTCTCTGTTTTCCTTTTTTTAGTGATCAATAAGAGAACTCCATGCGATGCACCCGATCCTTGAGAATTCCAGTGTACAAAGCTCTACGATTCTCTGGCATACCACACGAATTACTTTGAGTTTTGCTATAATATTTCTTAAATACCCTTCTATACTCCTCGCCATTTCCATTTGAATCTTTCACATTAGCTGCAAAATGAACTCTCTTCTTTTTCTTCTTTTCACCTGTAATATATATGAGAAGTGTCACATGCAAACAGTGATAAAACAATCACCTAGTGTTCCAAGAAGCTGGGAGAAAATAGTACCTGAAGATAAACAAGACTTGAGTATATGTTTTCCATGTGGGGAATATTCTTGTTTGTTGTTTGTAAGTTCAAACTGAATAGTTGACAAATACTTTTCCCGAAGTAGATCAAAAAGAATAACAGTGCCAGCAGAGACAACCATTGCTGTTGCCAAGACCAAACCATTTGAGCCCATCAAGCTTGACATAATGGTAGAATTTAAGAAAGACGAGAATGAATGCTCAGCAGTGTAATTGACTTAAAAAGAGTTCAGCTGCACAAGATCTCTTATAATCGTTCAGTAATATGGAGATTGACGATTTTCGTATTAGCCGGCTCCAGCTAATTTGAAGTTGATGCACTACTACTTGTTGCCGTGAGTCGTTAAATGACAGAGTAGGTGGGAAGTCTGTATATGATCGTTACTCCTATATACACAATAAATAGTAGGATTGTTACTTGCAATGTGATGGAGTAGCCGCGTAGAACATACTTATACAATTATGTCACTTATTAAGGTCATTATTACTAATAAATTTCTTTGATAATCTTTGATTTATTAGTATAAATAGTAGCAACTAAACTGTTACGATAAGTTAAATTATATACTACTCCCTTCGATCCATAATAAGTGACTTTTTAGTTTTTGGCGCACCTCTTAAGAAAATACGAACTCCTTGAAGAAAAAAAGATGTATTCAGTAAATTATCCTTAATTAATTGTTATTTTGACACATTGAGATATGTAAATAAGAGCAAATTTTGGATTAAAAAAATTAATTCCTTCTTGATTATGTAAAAGAACATTTATTTTGGACCAAAATAAAAAGGCCAAAATATCACTTATTATGAACAGAAGGAAATAGTATAAAAGCACTTTATATGGATTAGATAATTTATCTTGATTTATAAATTTTGGGATTAAAAATTTATCTCGTGTTTGATCGGATATATTAGCTAAAGCCCGTATTATTTATATACAAAAGTCTTGGTAGAAGATGGAATAAGTTACTCATGTTATAGTCCTGATTTTATTTCCAAAATTATATAATTTGGGATATTTTGAACCAAACGACCCGTAGGCCTAGTGTAAAAAAGGAAAGTGGTGGAATGAATTTATTCATATTATGGTTTGGGTTTTGTTATTTGCTTTCAAAAGTGCACCTCACGACAGGGGAAAGAGAGAAGAAATTATAAGGTGGAGAAGGATGGTCAAACTTTGAGTTCTGTAAAGTTGGCATTCAGTTAAGGTTGTCTACACAGTCCCCACAAGGCCAGCCTCTGTGTCTTTAATTAATGTGCATGTGTGTTTAATGAATAAAGCCGTGGCGATGTGCGCAATAGCTCAGGGAAAAAGATGATCAGTGTTTGAGACGTGGAAGTTCTTTCCTCTGTTTACAAACAAACTAGTATTACTTCGTAGCATGTGCAAGCAAGTCAAGTCACAAGAAAATCCTGTATTTGTCACGAGAAGGACTCTACATTGTGTCATGAAAAGCTTCCTCTTTTTTTGGGGGGGNATTTTATCATTTTAATTTTGCAATATGAGTTTAATTAGAATTTCTTCTTCTCTTTCTTCAATCTCAAGCATGAGTAGCTAGATTTTCACTAGGGGTGTGATCCAACCCTAGTGTGTAAACCTTATGGGTGTTTAATTTGATGCTTGTTTATGGTTGGATGTTTATTATTTAGCCTTGTTCTTGCTTTAATTTGTGGAATTAATGGTTGCAAACATTAGTTCAAGCTTATTTGACTTGGTTTCTACTTGAGAAATAGAGACTTAGTCTAGGAAAATTTGGCTAACAAGAAATTGGGTTAATCGAGAGATTGATAATCCCAATTAAAGGGTTCAACCTAGAGATAGTAATAACCCAACTTGAGCTTTTATCAACCATTTTGTGCAATACCAATTTGGACTTGAGAAAACCAAATTGGGCAAAATCACTCTGATTGAGACGTATTGAGTGGGTAATTGAGTATTGATAGCTATAATACACCCCGATCAATAAAACAAACATTAAGATTTATATCCCATTAGGCAAACACCTAGGCGATGGTCATAGCCCGAGGATTTTTACAAAATTTGAAAAACAACAAAAACAATTCTCTTAGATTTATTTCTCAACTTTTTAATCTTAGATTTAAATTAGACATAGAAATAACCCAAGTTTGTGGAAGTGTAAATTGAGATAGTCAAACTCACATCTAAAATATATACTCCTAACTCTCATATATAGTTCCTTGTGAAATCGATCCCGACCCTTGTTAGGTATTATTATTGCAATTGACTGTTGCATAACCTTGAATTGAGGTGTGAAATTGGACGACTTCAATTTTTGGCCTCGTTTTCGGGGAGCTAAAAACGGTGTTAACTATATATTTAGGTGTGTTTTTGAAATATCTTCTTTTCTATCCTTGTTACTAACGTGTTGAGAAATTGTAGGTGCAATCATGGCAAACAATGATCTCGGAAACATAGCTTTGGGGGACATGGACGTTGAGGATGGTCAAATGGATGAGGTCCCTCTTAAACCTCAAGTAAATAGACGAGGCCGAGCGCCTCAAGACAATGTACCCGCTCCACCCCCACCTCCACCATGAGCGGCTCCACACCGGGTATTGCCGAATTAAGGGTATGCAAGTACTATAGTCCCTCACCATATTAGGGCGGGAAACTTTCAAATAACCAACGTGATGCTCACTTTGCTCGAGCAAAGAGGGTTCTTCACCGGTGCACCGAGTGAAAATGCATACAAACACTTGAAGGGGTTCGTAGATACGTGTTAGGGGAGTAAACAAACAAATATCTTCGAGGATGCTTTGAGGCTAAGGCTTTTCCCCTTCTCTATACGGGGGAAAGCTTTAGATTGGTTGGAACGTTTTTCAAATTATTCCATTCATACTTGGGATGAATTAGCAGAGAAATTTATTTCTATGTACTTCTTTCCCAGGCACATGGCTATTCTTTGGGATAAAATTCTAGCATTCAAGCAAGAGCCCAATAAACCACTGCACGAGATATGGGAAAGGTATAGAACACTGGTGAAAGAATGCCCCAACAATGATATGAAGGAGAACATGATTCAACAAACTTTCTATCGGGGGATCAATACAACCAACCAATGTGTAATGAATCAACTTGCCGGTGGGAGCTTCATGACTACGCCTTATGCGGAGGCATGTGATATCTTGAATGAGATGGCGGATACTTCATCGGCGTGGCAATCTCGGGCTAATGTTCCACAATGTGACCCCAATGTGATCCACCTTCACAAAGAGTTACATGATCATGGACAAGACATAGCCTACTTGACTACCACCATGAACCAATTGGCAAAAGCTCAACTTCAACAAGTGCGAAACCCGAGGCAAGTCAATGCAATTGAGGGAGTTGGTATGATGATCAACAAGCGAAGAACAAGAAGTCCACAAGTACAACAAAGAGTGGACAATTTTGTGCAAGATGATAGTGGATTTGATCAAGATGAATCTTATAATGACCAAGAACATGAGGTTCAATATGTGAACAAATTTCAAGGGCAAAGAAATAACTACCAAGGCCATAGCCAACAATAATGGAGACCTCAAAATAATCAAGGCAATTGGAATTCTCACAACCAATGTAATTGGACTAGTGGAAATAATAAAAGCAATTGGAATAACAACAACAACCAAGGCAATTGGAGTGAAAGAAATAATCAAGGGAATTGGCATAACAACAATAACCAAGGCAATGGGGGAGGCAATAATCAAGGCGATTGGAATAACAATCAAGGAAATCGGGGGTCAGGTTTTCAAAGAACCCCGATGTATCAACAACTGAGCAACCCACATCTTTATCCTTCCCATGGTCCTAGTTCTTCCAACAATAAAATGGGCCGTATTGAGAACATGTTCAAGCAAATGATGGATAAGAATGCCAATTCTGATGCCCAACTTGCTTCACACAACACATCGATCTACAACTTAGAAGTACAAATGAGGCAAATCTCTCAAACTTTAAATTCTCATCCTAAAGGGGCACTACCAAGTGACACGGTGGTGAACCCAAAGGGTGGGAACAATACGGGGCATGCCATGGCTATTACTACAAGAAGTGAAAGAGGTGGGAATACACCCACCTCAAGTTAAAGGAAACTTGTGGATGATGAGCAAGTGATAGAAGAAGAGGAGATCCCGAACAATGTGGTGCAAACAAATAATGAAGTGTGGATTGCTATTGATGACACTGTGGAAGAGACTCAAGAGGAAGTGAACATGTCTATGGATCATGTTATTGACATTTCAAAACTGGTAGTGCAAATGGCTAAGGCACCATTGCCTAAGCCACCTCCTCCATATCCTCAAAGGCACGCCAAGAAAAATGGCGAGAATCAATTCAAAAACTTCATTGACATGATGAACAGTCTCTCGATAAATGTGCCATTAGTTGAAGCCTTGGAGCAAATGCCCGGTTATGAAAAGTTTATGAAGGACTTGGTGACAAAGAAGCGGTCAATGAATTTTGAAACTATCAAGGTCACTCATCAGGTGAGGGCGATTGTGTATTCGATGGCTCCTAAATTGGAAGATCCCGGTGTTTTCATAATCCCTTGTACCATTGGAAGTGCTGAGTTTGCTAAAGCTCTTTGTGGTCTTGGGGCAAGTATCAATTTGATGCCCTATTCGGTTTTCAAGACCTTGGGAATTGGGTAACCAAGACCCACATCTATGAGATTATAAATGGCCAATCGTACAATGAAAAGACTGTTGGGAGTGATTGAAGATGTATTGGTTCGTGTTGATAAGTTCATTCTTCTGGCAGATTTTGTTATTCTTGATTGTGAAGTAGACCATGAGGTGCCGATTATTCTTGAAAGACCTTTCCTTGCCACGGGGAAGGCTCTTGCTGATGTGGAAGCCGGAGAACTCACTTTCTGGGTAGGTGATGAAAAGATGTTGTTACATGTGTGCAAATCTATGCGGCAACCAAATTGCAATGAAGTGTGTTCTTTCGTGGACTTGGTGACCGATGTGATTATTGATGATACAAGTGCCACGATTAATGTGGGCGATATGTTGGAGGCCGTCTTGCTCAACTTTGATGATGACGAGATGGATGGCTTCATGGAATGTGTGAATTTTTTGCAAGGAATGGGGTCGTACTACTATGCACCCCGGAAACTTTTCTTGGATCTTGAGAATAGGAAAACTCCTCCTACAAAGCCTTCAATTGAAGAGCCTTCTACCTTGGAGTTGAAGCCATTGCCTCCACATCTTAGGTATGAATTTCTTGGCCCTTGTTCTACTTTACCGGTTATTCTTTCCTCCTGTTTGATTAACGTGCAGGTTGACTCCACATTGGCGGTGCTCCACAAGAGGAAGAAGGAGATTGGATGGACTTTGGCGGATATTCGGGGAATAAGCCCCGTATTTTACATGCACAAGATTAACTTGGAGGAAGATGCCAAGCCAT